AAGGCAGCCACCAACAGGCACACAGAGATAAACAGCATCTACACACTATTCAAAAGAGACAAAAGAAAGGAAAACAAAAGACCAGAACACCTCCTCACCCACAATCATCACCCAGATAAGCAAAGGTCACCATCAGGCACACAATCAAACAGCAAACACATGCTAATCAAGGAACTACCAGAGGAGCAAAACAAAAACCCCACCCTCACCAGCAGTGGCAAGGCATGCCACAGTATATAAATAGAGAGCAAGCCCCATCCCATTTTAGCACTGAAGATGTTACCTAGCCAGGTAATGAAATGTTTGCAAGAAAAGGACCAAGCTCAGAGAACCCCAAGAACTCCACTATATCAACAGAATTAGCATGTATGTTTTGCGGGATGTAGCATGATGGTAAATGAAAACTGGGCTGTCATGTGTAACAGAAGGAATTTCTCCATAAATCAACATATTTTCTCATTGTTGTTTAGGGGCCAGAGGGCTCCCCGGGGCCTGCAGGACCTCCAGGAAGTCCAGGAGAAAAGGTGAATTGCTGTTCATTCAGAATATAGGAGAACCCCTACAGAAAGGGGTCTCAGGGCTTCTAGAACATTGGAAAAGATGGGCAGGGGATCTGAGATAGTTGGGTCTGTGAGTGATAGGTTCCATGAAGGTGAAAATTTAAAAAGCTATTAGAAGAGCTTCAAGCTTGTTTCACTGAGGCTCTCAGAGATTTCTTAAGACATCTGGAGTTAAACCTTCTCCCCTAAATTGATCTTGGTGATAAATTTGGAAAATCTTTTGGAGGGGCAGGGAGCGGGGGGGGGGGATCTTTCTTCCCAGAAAGCTACTGTAGTTCATCAGATCTGGCTGAGAGACAGGAACTGTTGCAATGACTGTACTGAGCAGGGAGTGGATCTTGGGTCTTCCTGGTTCAAGCACTTTATCCATTGCAACACAGTTACATGTCTGGGTCTCTTTGGCAGGGGAAGGAAGGTGTCCCAGGACCTCAAGGACCCCCAGGATTGCCTGGACTTATGGTGAGTATGAATAATCAATCTGAAAAATAGGGTCTACTTTGAATCCCAGGGCCATACAGAACGATGGGCAATATTTCTATTGGATCCTGAAATTTTTCAGCTGGAATGGAGTGTATCTCAGAGCTGAGGAGAAACATGCATAGTTGCCTAAAGATTTTGGGCCTATTATCCCCCCACCCCCATCCCCCTTGTAGCTACATGGCATGTTAAGATGGTACACTGTGCACATATTGCTTGACATTTAAAAATTTCTCTTAATTTGAGTTGGCATGCATGCAATCAAATAAAAGTTATCCTGATTCGAACTTTGTGATGCAGTCTATTAAGAGAAAGAAAGAGAATTTATTTGCTGAAGGAAAAAATATAAGAGGAGGAAAAGATAAACTAATGAGGGAAGAGATATCTATTAAGAGATCAAGGTGGTCCAATACCATTGTGATAGAAAGAATACTTTGCCTGCAGGAAAGTCCAGAATCTCCACTGTCAAAAGATCTTAGGAGATCTTTTTGCAGCCCTGCTTCTCATCATTTTGAAGATCTGTTCTACGCATAATCAAGATTATTGGTCAAAATGAGTCCATAATTTGACTCAGGATAGTTTTACAAATCATGCTTGGGTATCTCCACTGCTATGTTCAACCTTCTGGTGTTGCCAGCAGTGATTTCTCCCACCCTCATTCTTCTTTGCTGAGCTTGCTTTTACAGCAAAGTGGGAAAAGATTGTTCAAGGAAGTCAGAAAGCCATTCCTCAGAATGAGTAGGGAGGTTGGGACCATGGTGTCATGGCACCACAGCAACTTGGCTGCAGAAAGATGGGGGGGGGGGGGGTTAGAAACCAAAAGGGGGGGGGGGAAAAGAATTCCCCCCTGTGGGGGGAGGGGTTGTCACATTTCTGG